AGGAGGAGGAGGAGGAGGAGGAGGAGGGATGGAGGGAGGGAGGGAGGGAGGGAGGGAGGAGGGAGGGAGGGAGGGAGGGAGGGAGGGAGGGAGGGAGGGAGGGAGGGAGGGAGGAGGGAGGATCGGATCGACTCGGCAGGAGGACGCGTCAAGCATCTCAGCGCCGTCTGGGGCGCGCCCGTTGGCGCGCCACAAGGAGGAGTAAAACTCAAAAACAGTTTCTGAGCATGCAGTCTGGAGCTGCATGCTCTAAAAAGCCACCACGATCCCCAACCTGCCGCCCTCTCGAGGCCTCGCTGAGGCCTCACGGATCGGTGTCCTGAGAAAAGAAAATGAAAAAACTAAACCTGCAGGCTCCTCCTCCTCCTCCTCATCCTCCAGACCGGCCTTGCGGTACTCGAAGTTCTGGAGGGCATGGTGGAGGAGGGCCTGCCACGGTCGGGCCTGCGGTGGAACCTGCTACCCTCCGTCCCCAACTATCCTCGCCTGCCAGTCCCATATACATGACCTGTCTAGGCTGAGAAACTTATTGAAACATTTCATGCTGCAGCCACGTGTGCGGAGTGTGTGTGTGTGTGTGAGTATGTGTGCTAGGAATCATTGTATGGCCTTGCGACACTATTGGCTTGGAACTAGCCAATATCTTATGTCATTGGGCCCGAACGTGGCTGCTGCTGCTGGTGCTCCTCTCGCTGGCCTTGTAGCCAGCTCTGGGAACAAAACTCCTTGCTCTGGCAATGCAATGCGCATTTGCTCTTGCCTTTTTGCCATGCGGCGAACAGCTGCTTCTTTCCTGTTGCGCTCAATGCGTTCACGCTGCTCCACAGTGAGGGGGGGAGGTCGAGGGGGAGGAGGAGGTGGGGCTGCCTGGGATGCAACTCTTGCCTCCACATGTTGAGACCCAATAGAGGTGTGCTCCTCAGGTAGCGGATCTCCCTGCCCAAGACTCTCCTCATTGGGGTGTAAGATGCCTCGCAATCTGCTGAACGCAGTGGGCTTTCTGCTTTTCTTGGCAATGGCGAAATCTGGCCCATACAGCGGGCGGCCGCTTTCATCGTCAAATAGCGAGGGCACAAAAAACTGTAACAATGAGGGGTCCGTTGGATCGGGTTCCATGTTTTTGTCTAGATCCGCTGATAGTAAAACATGGTCTAACATTGCTCTACCTATTGCACTGCACATGCTGGCTGGATACACTTTCTTGGCTGCCGTGCGAAACTCTCCCGACTCCTTCTTGCCGGTGAGTGTTACGTGTGTGCCCCGAGGGTGTGAGCAAAAGCCTTTACCCGGGGTATCTAACAGATACTCTCTCATCGTATGCAGCCTGACAAGTAAAATGGCAGTGGGTGCACGTCCGATCTGGCCATGCTCGCACTGGTCGAAAATGACAACATCCGAGGCTGGGGCTGCTCTGATAGCTTGCAAGGGTCGAAATGACCACGATGGTACTGCCTGCGGCCTCCAGTCCGCGGGTGCTGGATGCTCCATCCACGCTGCAGCTCCGCACGTCAGTGCTGCGACAAGTAGGCGAACGGTTGCCTGCAGCAGCAGGTTCCCAACCTCCAGTTGGAGATGCTGCCTTTTTGTGATGGGAGTGATTCCCCATGGTTGCTGCCAACTGCGCAGTGGGGGGGGGCCTCCCTCCAGCCATCGGGCCGCGCTGAATGTCTCGCATGGGGGCCCCCCTCCTATGACTGCAATCCGGCCTGCGAGTAGATGATTTTCCCACAAGTCGATGGTGGGCGTGTGGGTCAGGTCCCCTCGGACCTCATCAATCACAACATCTAAACTTAAAACCCAAATCTCCAGGTCACTCGTGTTTGTCTGGTGAGTCACTTCTACTGCATCCTGGATGTCGCCTACTCTTCGGGCTCCACTAAACATGTTGACAATAAAAATGGTCCTGCGTCGAAGCGGGCGTGGGTAGATGTCGGCAAAACTGCCTTGACACTCCTCTGGGTCGAACGGGAAATCTAAAAACCAGCCAGGAACCTCAGGAGGGGGTAGAGGAGGAGGTACAGGAGGAGTGGGAGGGGGCTTCCCGACGTAAAAATCATGCTGATCCCTGAGCAACTGTTTGGCCTCGCTCTGGGTATACTTTGCTCGCAATTGTTGGGCCTCTAGTGGGACGGTGTCGCCTGCAACACACGGAACGTTCGCAAAGGTGCGAGGCCTACCCTGAATTCGATTGTCCTTTCTTTCCTGGGCCTCCTGCTCCTGCACAAGCGTGCGCTGCTGCTCATCTATTGGAGGCACGTGCAGGACATAATATAACATGCACAATACGCTGTCACGTTTTACGTGCTGAAACAACACTGCTGTGCTTGCATATTGCTTTCCGCATGCCAGGCACTTGTTGCCAGACAAGTGTCGCCGTGCAATGTCACTGTACGATGTGTGTGCACGGGCGATGTGTGTACTTAAACCTACCTGTGACGGAAACGTCCTCGCACAAAAGGGGCACTGGGGATTCGAAAGAGGGGTGGGTGGAGCGGGCTGGTCTCGCGCTGGTGGCAGTCCTGCCTCATGCGCCTTTGCCATGATTGTGCGCTCCCAGTGCTGCGCCCTTACTCTCCTAGCAACTTCGTTTGCGCATGCCTGCGCAGCTGTACGAATGATGGCCTGCCATCGACGTGGGGCGGAGCGTATAAAAAACGTCCAGTGTTTAAAGTCGGCCACTGGGGTCGGACACTCTTTGACTTGATGGGCCGAACGTCGTAGCCAGTACATGCCATCTTTGACCTGCTCTAGCCACGATGCGGAGTTTGCAGCACTCTCCGCCACTACTGACGCAAGGAGCACTGACGGAGCCGAATTCACAATTTGTCCGAAAAGCCTGAGGCGTGCCACTCTTATCTGGACGAGTGTCTCTGGTCGACAGGCCCGAGCCAAGATCTGATCATCGGACGGTGATTCGGCCGAACATCTGGGGGCATTGAGGCTAACACGATAGATCTTTAAGATGTCCATGTGTATGCGGTGTAAATCGTTTTTATTTAGCCCCCACCATGTTCCTGCTCCATATAACCTTGCATTCATGATGAGGCTGTCTGCAAGTGCCAAACGATCTTTTTCAGGTAGGTCCCGAGCAACTCGAAAAACTTGCCTGAGTGAAGTAAGTGACGACGAGCATGTGTGTTGCCTGTGTGCTTGTTCAGGTGTGAACGATAGTGTGTCGGTGTGTATGGCTCCCAAGTATGGATATTGTCTAACCACTTTAAGCTGGGGACTGCCGTGTACCTCGGGGAGTCTGATGTATCCATGCATTGTATGCCATATTGTGTGTCGTAATGCTTTGGAACCTTTGCCGCGTACTGTGATTAGTACCTCCGTTTTTCCCGGGAGGAGGGAGGAGGGAGGAGGGAGGAGGGATGAGGGGAAGGAGTAGGAGGGAGGCAGGAGGAGGAGGAGGAGGAGGAGGGGAGGAGGAGGGGGAGGAGGAGGAGGGATTGAGGAGGAGGCGGAGAGGAGGAGGAGGAGGAGGAGGGGGAGGAGGAAGACAAGAGGAGGAGGAGGGAGGGTAGGGCAGGGAAGGGAGGGAGGGAGTGAGGATGGGAGGGAGGAGGAGGAGGAGGAGGAGGAGGGGAGGCGGAGGCGGAGCGGAGGCGGAGGCGGAGGAGGAGGCGGAGGCGGAGGCGGAGGCGAAAGGCGGAGGAGGAGGAGGAGGAGGAGGAGGAGGAGGAGGAGGGAGGAGGCGGAGGAGGAGGAGGAGGAGGAGGAGGAGGAGGAGGAGGAGGAGGAGGAGGAGAAGGAGGAGGAGGAGGAGGGGAGGAGGGAGGGGGGGAGGGGGAGGGGGAGGGGGGGGACGGTGGAGGGGGAGGGGGAGGGGGAGGGGGAGGGGGGGGGGAGGCGGAGGAGGAGGAGGAGGAGGGGCGGAGGAGAGGAGGAGGAGCGGTAGGCGGAGGAGGAGGAGGAGGAGGAGGAAGGAGGAGGAGGAGGAGGAGGAGGAGGAGGAGGAGGAGGAGGAGGAGAGGAGGAGGACGAGGAGGAGGAAGAAGGAGGGGGATGAGGAGGAGGAGGAGGAGGAGGAGGAGGAGGAGGAGGAGGAGGAGGAGGAGGAGGAGGAGGAGGAGGAGGAGGAGGAGGAGGAGGGGGAGGAGGAGGAGGAGGAGGAGGAGGAGGAGGAGGAGGAGGAGGAGGAGGAGGAGGAGGAGGAGGAGGAGGAGGAGGAGGAGGAGGAGGAGGAGGAGGACAAGCTAGGTGCGCTCGCGTCATATCTGACATCCTACCCCTCCCTCCCATCCCTTACCATGGCGCAGATCCCCTCTCTACTCGCACAGTCGGATGTCAAGCAGGGCGATGATCCCGAAAGGGTACGCGATGCATTGTAGAGCACGGCATGGCATGGCGTAGAAGAGCACCGCGAAGCGTAGTATCAACCTGGCATTGCATTGCATGCCGTGGCATGGCACGGGAAATGACGCCAGCGCTGCAG